ACATATAATTCCTTTCCCTTGTATTAGTCAGGTGATAACTTCACCCCCTTAAGATTAAACACTTCCCTTACTCAGGCAGACAACTCTCCTGATATCTTGAAACATTAGGAAAAGGTTATTTTCAATGTTTTCTGAACTGCAACACAACAAGGAGCAACTGAAAGCAATGAGTTTTTCAATGTAGAAAGCAATAGTTGAAAGGTGAGAATTACCTGAAGTCACTTAAACTTAATTCCAAACATTCAGGAGTGTTTCTTGCTTATGAAACACTTTCAAAAAATGACCATCTTTGAGATTAAAGGCTAAAATAAGCTAAACCCAGTGTACAGCTATGAGAAATGAGAAGGAACTGATTTCAACCGATGTCAACAATTGGTACATGACCATTACCATACCTGTGTGGTATGCAGCAGGGCAGCATCTGATGACAGCCTTTGTGCTCACGGGCAGAAAGCTGCCTGGACAGGGTGAAAAGGCCACAACTTTAGCTTCAGCACTTACTGCCTATCACACAGAGGAATGCGAACCAACCTACTGGACCACCATGCCACAGCACGGTTGGAGGCAGCTTGTATATACCTATGCTGGGAATAATCAGGCAAACTGAAGGGCAGTCAGAAAGCTGTAGACTTCATAAGCATTAGGATGCCTGAGCAATAGTGTAGAATCATAGAATCACAGAATGGAGAATGGTTTGGTTGGAAAGGACCTTAAGGTCATCCAGTTCCAACTCCTTGCCATGGGCAGGGACACCTCGCACTAGACCATGTCACCCAAGGCTCTGTCCAGTATGGCCTTGAATGCTGCCAGGGATGGAGCATTCACACTTCTTTGGCCAATCTGTTCCAGTGCCTCACCACCCTCACAGTAAAGAATTTCTTCCTTATATCTAACCTGAACTTCCACTGTTTGAGTTTAAACCCATCACCCCTTGTCCTGTCGCTACAGTCCCTGATGAAGAGTCCCTCCCCAGCATCCCTATAGGCCCCCTTCAGATACTGGAAGGCTGCTATGAGGTCTCCACGCAGCCTTCTCTTCTCCAGGCTGAACAGCCCCAACTTACTTAGCCTTTTGACTGTTGTCTTTTGGGTTATAAACATTACCAGGGAGGAGAAGCCCAAGCTGACTGCGCCTGCTGAGCCATTCCTCAGCCTCTGTCTATGCACAGATGTACAGTGGTAACAAGGCAGCACTCTGGAGCCTAATGGGCTTGTTTCTTTGAGGAGAAGAACAATTAATAATAATTGCAAAGTCCTGTGCTAAGGGAATTTATAGCCAATTAAAAGAAATGTGGCTGCCGCAGTTAAACACCATAAAAATCACTCTCTATGCAGTAGAGACCCATGCAGTTACACAATTATGTTCATGTCAACCCTATTTAATATATAAATTTTCATGTATATGTAGCTACATTTCCTGATAAAGAAGTAATTATAAATCACAATATTGCACTAAGTGTATGAGGCACTAATGTGTTATCAAAGAATGGCCTTTCATGATATTCCAAACCAAACTCTAGGAAAGCTGTTGGGTTGTACCTATGTCATGGGTATCTGCCAGGGGCAGCTGCCAGCCGTCACCTACCCGGCTTGCTTAGGCTGGCCAGTCAGAATGAATCCGTTAGCTCTGTGACAAGAAGTGAACCTAAACTAAACTACAAATAATGAGATGTAGTCCCTTGGTCAAAATTTGCTACTTCAGAGAGCTGATAGCAAGGCAAAGGAGTATGCTGTGACATCAGTTTAGGTTATTTCATTTTATGCTGAAACAACTAAACTTTGGGAATCTAAAATATATGGAGTAAGAGGAGTCTCCTGGGAGACCCTCTAGCGTCACTTTATTGGAAACAAGGGAAAGATCTTTACTTTCCATTTTATCCACAGGATCTTATTTATCTTCTTCACCTGCATTTTTATTTCTTAGGAAATTGAGGCCTTTTTTCATCTCATCTAAGGCCTGACAGGCTTCTTAACACATGAACATCTTTGCAGATTTGGTATGATTTCCACTTGGGGTTGTCTGATAGTTTCCACTAGTCAGAATTTGCTTGTGTGTTCATAGTAACATCGCAGAGAAAAGTACAAACTGCAGTGATTATCCGTTGGGCATAACTGTGGAAACCAAAAGATCTTTTCTTGTTTGTGCGAATTTAGGTTACAAATACAACACTTGCAGAAGATGGTTTCCTGGCAGAGAAGCAATAGATTGAACAGTGGGAAGGATATGGTTAGCTTTTAGCCTGAATTAAAACAGAAAAGAAATTAGAAAATCAGTACAGCATAAAAAGAGCTTCTTGGCAACAGTAAAATAATCCGTGGAAGTGATGCTTAGAGTACAGACAATGTGAATTTCAACTTTGTTTGGTTAAATACAGAACTTTATGGTAGCAATTTTTTAGGAACCACCTCATCTTGCAGTTCTTTTCTATGAGTGTCAGGAAAGGAAATCTCAAAAGCAGAAACCTAATATTTTAATCTGATTACTGTCAGAGAGCAGGTGATTCAAACCATGACAAAGCCTAAGCAGTGGGAATGGAAGGGAGCAGGGGGGGATATTAAGAAAAGCATAGGGCAGACAATGCTTTAATTTGATGGCATCAGGGAAAAGCCCCTGGTTTCTCAGAAGTGCAGGCAAATTGGATTTTTGCTCTTCTGAAGAAAATAGCTGGAATTGAGGAGCAGGGAGAGATTTGTGGATAGTAAAGCAGCACCTTCTGCTCTTGTGGGAGGAGTAGGAAGGATGGTGCTTCTCCCTCCCCCCATTTCCTTTTTTGCCCAAGCTCAATCTAGATGGCACTGTGGGCACCACTGGCTACCAGGATAAAACAAAGGGAACTGGAAAGCCAGATGGCTAAAATGGATGGCCGATGATCAAAGAAACAAGAGCAATTCAGCTCTTCCAGAGGGGGAAGCAATGGTCTCCAACCAGGAACTTTGCATGTCAGACCCATTTGGAAAGCAGTGTTGCAAGTACAAGACCAGGCACCAGAACGCAAATCCAGTGTGAGACCCAATGTGAGATAATTCTGCATCAAATCAAGATGTAAGAACATAGACAAATACAGAGTAATGTACTCAATAGAGGTATTTGGTGGAGAATTACAGAAATCATTAAGAGATGCTGAGGGCAGTCTAAAGCAGAAGATTAAAATGATGAAGCAAGCTGCCTTCATACAGCTGCAGTTCCATCACTGAGTTCCAGTAGGGACACGTTGATCAATCTTGTAAGAGTTAAAAATGATAATTAAAAAGGGGAAAGTTCAGATTTGCCAGTATGTCAAAGTAACAGAGGAGAGACAGGAGTGAAATGTAAGCTGCCTACATCTTTCATAAGCAAAGGCAGCTCTCACTGATGTCAAGGGGAGTAGCTTGCACATATCTGAAGGCAGAATATGCCCAGGAATCATCCTCTGAGACTGTCAGCTAAGCACCTTTCAAAAGCATTAAATACACATCCTATGACGTATCCCTAGCTGCATGAAGCCACTTAGCAAGAACCAAGTGACAGACCTTGGGAATGCTTTGCAAGATCATAATCAAGGCTGCCGCGCCTTCGTTTTTTTCCCATTGGAGATGAATCCAACAGTGAAAATGACTTCCAAAGTACTTAAATGGGGAGAGTTGAATTCTCAGGTCTGTATCCATAACAAGTAGTTCCCTGAGCAGCCCGAACTAGCATTGCCTGGTTTTCTGTGGATCACACTGAGATTTTCCAATATCTTAGAAGGTGTGGGATGTGATTGAAGTTTTTTCCCCTTAGCAGAAGCATTAGGATCACCTCTTCCCTCTCACAGCCTACTACTGTGTATTAAAGCTCTAGGTATTAAAGACCTCTATCCCTATTCCCACATTCGCATGATCTCAGGAAACCAGTCTGAAACATTCCTTGACCATGTTATGAAGCATCACAGTCCTGTCTGCTGGCTAATGGCTTTCCAGTGGGCTTTTTGCTGTGGTCCTACAGAAAGTCCACAGCTGCTGCTATTTTAAGACCTAAAGCAGTAAATGTTTAAAGATGAAATTTTCAGTATGATGACCTAAGAATCATTTCAGGATACCAAGAAAAAAGAATACTCAGAGAAATCTTCCACCTCACTACAGAATCTACAGGGCTGTTTCTTCTTTTTTGCTTCTTGATATGTCCATGTCTTTCTATTTTATATTTTCTAAGTGTTTTCATTGATTTCATTTTATGCACAAACTGAACACAGTTAATCAGTAGATACAAAATGCATCCTGCAACATTGCCAGTATCCTAACATAAGGGATTCAATTGCTGAATTGTCGTAAGATTAGGCCTAAGCCACAGTATAAGCTTCATTGATCCAAGCACAGCAAGATATCCATTCAATAGCATGTGTTTTAGCAAGGTTTTCCACTTGTAAAGACTTCCTGCAAATTAGGGTTCATCCAATATGTGCTATAAACACGGTGGATCAAATCTTGCTTCAGTTTAAAAAACCATCTCACTCCTTAGGAACTGGGTGCATTGTGTAAGCAAAGAGACACACATGTAATGAAGTTAGCTTTCAAGAGAGCCATAGCTGTCAAGCTGCATGTTTAATAGACACTGTTCTTCCTGACAAGGTGCCCCCAAAAAGCCAAAGGATGAAAGTACAGATGATGTGCTCAATGTTCATAAAGCCAAAGGTTCAGTGAAGCTGCTGTTGTTACCAGCTAAGCTGTTCTTAAACATAAGCATCTGCAGTGAAGAGGTTACAGAAAGGTGCCTGGCTCTTGACATTCTGGAGTCCCATCACTGTAGTATCTGAAGGTATCAGAGTGCAGTGTGTCCTCTCACCCTGCCCTGCAGTGTGGCAATGCTGCTGCCATGACATGCATAGGGGGGGCTTAGTAGGCAGGAGCCAAAGGACTCTTCACAGCCTACTCTGTGACCCTGGCTGTCCCCCCTCTCAGCCGTGGTCTCCACCTGTTGACAAGAACATAAGATTTCAGTGGGAAATAAGGTATAATACCACAAGAGATAAATAAAGTGGGATTCCATATCATGCTGGGGGAAAAGCAGGGCTCTGGGACGGGCTGATTATCTTTGGGCTGGAGCAGAGGCAGTTGCCAATACATGATTAATTTGGAGCAGACCCCGGTGGCATTTTAGGGGTCTGTGTGTCAGCAAGATTGACAGAAACCCAAATGGCAGAGGTGATCTAAACGCATCCAAGGGTTTGTCTTTCTGCTTGCAGCGTCCGTCACCCAGCAGAAGGCATGCAATGACATGGTTGTGATCAGACCCCAGAATCAAGCCGTGCCAAATGAAGTGGGCATGCTGACACCAAAGGAAGAAGCCGAATGGTATACAGAGTTTCAAAATGATATACATCTACCAGGAAAATAATGACTTTATATCACCTAAGGCTGTTTTTTCTTTAGAAGATTTTCTTTCTTTGGATTTTGCCCAAATCATAAGTCTTATTTGGTTCTAAATACCTAAATGTAGAAATTCTGTTTCAGTTCTTCATCCTAAAATCTTAAATGCACAGCATGCAGACTTTGGCATCAAAAAGGACTGACAGCATAATGATTTTACAAATATGTGAGGCTTAAAATTACCACCAGTATGGTTTTATTCACTGGATGCTGCTCTTGAGAATAAACTTGAGTACTGGTAAACATATTCCTGAATGCAGTCTCAGCTGGTACATATACCTTATCATCTTTCCACACAGATTAAGAAAGCCCTTTATTATATAAATGTCCCATTTTTTCCAATTGGGAACTGATAGCTTATGTATACTTAATTGTTGGTGTTGCTTGAAGAATGAGTCATCCTTATTTCCACTGAGAATTTCCTCGAACTGCTTTAGTTTCATGCAGGGAGCTGTATTATTTTGCTTAATTATATAAAGATTCCAGATCACGAAGGTTTTATGTTAGTAACACAAACGTCAAATGATTTAAGCAAGTTCCTAGAATACCTAAGTGGGAAATCAAAACAAGTGCCTTAGAGGAACTGCTGCTTAAGTTCTGATAGGGTGAGCAAACGAAAGAAATTAGTAAGTCAGGGATTTTACTCACAGAAAACTAAACAGAAAGGCAAAGATACCTTGCTTTGAAGGTGAAACCTTCAGTAGCTAATGTTTCACCTTCTTTTATTTAGCCTAAAAACCCCACCCTGCAAAAAAACATAAACAGATCTTTAAATTTATGAGCTGGAGAAGTCTACCCACACGAGCTTTTGCAGGATCAAGACCTGAGAGAATGATTTCTGTTCATAAAGCACTTTTAAAGTCTTATGTGCCAAATTCTGAGAACAATCTATTTTCACCAACCCACTCTGACCTTATTTGCTCAGCAGGCACTATTTCTAGAGCTGCCAGGAACTTCAACATGGTCATACATTTTGCTGTCGACTCTTGAGGAGATAAGGCTAGTGTTTTCCAATGCTTTATGCACTCATTCAGCTAGTTGAATGGTTCCTCGTAGACATGCTGGGTATGGGATTTTTTAGTGAATGCAGATTCAGGGAGGCCCTGCATAGGTCTATTTATGCCATGATTATAGTCCAGGGACAAATTTCCTTTGAATGCAAAGCATGACTTGCACAGAGTCAAAAAGGGAAAAAATGGCCTTTTATAGAGCACAAACAGATGAAGAGCTCAGCCAAGAGGAAGCCTGGTTCCTCCTCCCTGTCCTCTCTCCAGGAGAACCAGGTGGCTTTTGTCACAGCAGAAATCAATCATACTGTTCCCTGCTCCCATCTAGTCACTGTGTGTGAAATAAACCCTATTTCTAGGGTTGAAGTGGGACACAGGGGAAACTGTAGGTTGCTGCACCCTATGGATAATACACAAGGTAGTAATCTAGTGCAAGACCTGGATTTAAGGAAAAGTTCCTAAATATGTGTTTGCCCCAAACTTCCTCTTTTTCTAGGGGCTCTAATAATGTAAGACAAAGACACTGACCTTGCACCTGCTTAAGCTTTACTAAAAGAATTGAAATTTGTCAGTTGTGCTTTACCATTCAGTATCTTTGCTTTCCATACCAGAAATGTTTATTAAATATTACCTTCCAGCCCATGATTGAAAAGAATAAGAGGTGATTAACTCCACAAATGGTAATGGAGCTTCCAGGAATGTGCGTTTCTCCATCACTGTTTTCTACTCTTTGTCTCCCTAAAGACCCACTCACTGCACAAGCTGGTAGATGAATGGACAGCTTTGTTGAATAAGACTGACAATATCTGCTTTGAAATTCAGACTAGTAGCTAGTTATTAAATATAATAGCTTGTTTGTGCTTCTTAAGAAAAGAAAAATGTCCTAAAACCCAACTCTGATAAGCATAATAATTTGTTTCAGCTTTTACACCCATGGCCTTGAAGTTGTCTTCTGTAGCAATTAGACTTTCAACAGGTTCATTTACTCTTTTCAAAATTCTCAGAGATTTCAACCTTTGCTTTGGTTATTCCCTGATGAACAGCCTGCAGAATCATTTCAATCCATCCAAAATCTTCCATGGGCACTACCCAAGCCTATGGTAAAACGAAACATCACACTAATAAATAATAACATTCAGTTCTTGAAGTTTCCTTTCCATGAATCTCAGATGCCACATAAAAACTGAAGTTTGAGCATGCAGTTGTGGGATTATTTCTACAAGTATTCAGTACAGGACTGAGGACAGTTCTGGGACATACTGGCAATTGCCACCACATATCTATGATACATCTTATATTGGGAACATCCTTTGCAGGCCCTGATTCCCATGTTCTGGATGAATCCTGGTTGTACCTGTGAAATTTTACAGGCTCAGGCAGATCCTCTGCAGTGCCCACCCATCCAAATCCCTGCTTTGTCAGCTTGGATACCCAGAGGGGACTCAGCCCAGTTTCAGTTAGCTGAAGTAACTGCAGGAAAACATAAAACATTTCTAACTGAATCAAACCATTCATATGTTACAAGTAAAATTATCTCCCATTGGTTTATCCTACAGAAAGTGGGAGAGTTTGGGATACCATTAAAAACAGCACAGAGGATTAGCCAAGCTCCGTTTCAAATTCCTGGTGATCTCATTCACCAGCCCAAATGAATTTAAATATTTTAAAACCTGATTTTAAAGTAATATAAAATATTTATAAACTGTAATTACAAACGACAGTGAAAAGCAGAGTTGATTAGTGCAGACAAAAGTATCAACAGACTGAACTGGGGAGCAAACACCTCCTCTGGGGTTGTGTAGCTTGCTAAAATATTTATACTGAAAACCCAGAAGCTTTTCCCTTGTAACTCCTGGGAACAGACTTTTTCCCAGGTGTATCCTCCTATACGGATCAGGCATTACTTTAATGTGTAAGTAGCTCACCAGAAGGTGTTATGCTAGAAATCTAAATACGGTTACAATGTCTCTGCAGGGCAGGACAAAATAAGAGGTTCTGGGAGGACTTGGAGCTATCACCTCCTGCCAGTGTAATCACTATCTTGTGGCTCTACTGTACACAGCCCTCAGCACTGAGCTGCTGGCACAGGGCTGACAGCAGACATGAAATGGGGAGTGACTGCTGGCCTGATGGCATGGTGCGCTTCTTTGTGCCTCAGTCTGGATAGGAATTGGAAGCATCTTTCTTAGTTAAGGTTAGGATACATCCAGGAGGAAAAGGAGGGCAATATTATTTTCTGCATTCCTCAGCTGGGGAATACAGGTATTTTTAAATAGAGAGTTAATACGTAGGAATCACTGCTTACAGCTTGCCTGAAGAGAATCTATCTCTCAGTGTAACTAACTGAGCAAGAAAAATATGGTGTTTGCTCTGTCTTTGGTGTATTGCTGTGTGGAACTTACAAAACTATGATGGCTTGGGAGTAAACATCAACACCATGAGCTCTCAAAAGTAGAAAGCATCATTCAGAAAAGCTGAGATCAAACTCCAAACATCACCAGACACCTATGATAATTCCCTTGTGAAATGGACATCTGCTGCTGGTGCATAAAGCTGAAGTACTGCTACTGAGACACTGCTGGAGGGCCAGTTCAAAACTGGCTGCTGAAAACTTGTCCCATAAAGGTGGGAATAGTGGAAAAACTCATCAGCAACAAGTAGCTGTCCAAATATTGCACAATACACACCATTATAAGGACATGGAAAAGAGGAATGTCTTATTGGAGATATAAACAATGCAGACAGGCACAAACACATAGGCTGTGTGAGCTGAGATAGACTGCCTTTGGGGGCAAAATAAGAGTTAACTGCAAAAAGGAAGAGGACTATGGATCATAAACTAAGCTGGTACTCCATAAACATGGTAAGAGTAGTTTATCTGCAAGAGGATTCAAAGACCAAAGAGAATTTCCTATGCTTAGATCAATGTATTCCTGAAATTCTGCAACTTAACTGTGACTTCCCTCAGTGTGCAAATGGAAAGCAGAGACTTGATTTATTTATCAATAAATAAACTGCATAATGGAACATACAGGAAAAAAATAGTGCCTGAGGATAGTTGAAGCAATATTAAACTACCCCCCAATGTTTGCTGAATCTGCCACTTTTGTCCCTGCAAATTTCCCTGTGTCAGGACACCACTGTGTGGGGAATGTGTTCACTTAGTGCGGGGCAGGAATCTGTGTCAGACACTCTCTTGCTTTCCTCTGTTCCTACCTTTATATGTTCTCTGAGCTCCTTTCTTGGGATCAAATCACAGACTGTGTGGTGCTGGAAAAGAACATGGAAATGCTGGCCATGGTGTTCAGAGAAACCCCTTTATGTGCTCCTTTCAGCTCCAACCAAGTTCTTGCTCATGCATCTCACAGGGAGAACCTTTCCTGGACTCTCCCCAGACCCTCTGCAGAAGCAGAGGAAAAGAAAAAACAGAAAGAGAGCTTCCCAGCTTTCCCGGGAGATACAGATACGGAGAAAGCTTAGAGGATAGGTAGCAGTATAGCTGTTGCTTATTCCCCAATTCTGCCTTCCCCACCTACTTTGTCTAAGTCCTATCCCTCTGTTAAAATACAGCTGAACCTGGAATCATCAGTATCATCAAAAAGACACTGACTTGTACTTGCTTCTGATCTTTGAAATGAATGGTCCACATTCCCAAGGGGGTTTTGGTTGTTTTGTTGTTGTTATTGTTTGTATATTTGTTTTAAATTAAAATTGTATATTTGTTTTAAATTAAAATTAGGGTGTACCTGCACCTACAAAACGATGCAGCTACAGCATTTCAGGAGCTGAGGAAGGTAGGGCTGGCAAGGATGTCTGGGGCAAGTCCACCTTTGCCGAGGTATGTGCATTTAGTATACCCAGCAAGGTTGTCAGCTGTTTTATCTCATCTGTTCTTTAAAACCCTGTCCTGGGTTCAGCAGTAACAGTCATTTTTCTCCTTCCTAGTAGCTGGTGCAGTGCTGTGTTTTTGACTTTAGCCTCAGAACAATAGTGGCAACACCAGTGTTTTGAGTTGTTGCTAAGCAATGCTTACTCTGATCATGGACTTTCAGTCTCATGCTCTGCCAGGAAGGAGGAGCATGGGAAGCAGGGAGGAGGCAGAGACACCTGACCCAAACTAGCCAAAGGGGTATTCCATACCACAGCATGTCTTGCCCAGTATAGAAACTGGGGGAGTAACCCAGAAGGCCCAGATCACTGCTCAGGTCGGGCTGGGTATCAGTTGGTCAGTGGTGAGCGGGTGTATTCTCTTCCCTTGTTATTTCCCTTATCATTATTATTATTGGTGGCAGCAGCAGTGGTTTGTGTTATACCTTAGTTACTGGACTGTTCTTATCTCTACCCGTGGGGGTTACATTCTTTGCATTCTCCTCTCCATCCCTCTGGGAGCTGGTGGAGGAAGAAGGGGGGAGCGAGAGAGTGGCTGTGTGGTTCTGAGTTACCAGCTGGGCTTAAACCACGACAAACCCCAAGTAATGGAAATTCGACGGCTACTCCAACATCCTGTTCCAGTGCTTGCCTAGGCTTATAGTTAGAAAGACAACCTAAATCTATCCTGTTGGAAATTAAAGCAATTTTTCCTGCCCTTACTTCAGTGAGTAATGGATTACTATCTTCTTTTAGTAGCTCCTTACACACTGGAATTGTTATCCTACTGCCCTCAATTGTGTAGATGAAACAAACTGTGTTTCTACAAACTTTTCTCATAGCTTATGTATTTAGGACTTTCTATTTATTCCTGTTCCTGTCCAGTGGGAATGAACCTTTTATTTAAATATATGGTACTTGAGCCAGATTCAGTGTAAACTGGTAAAACTGATAGTTCTGAGCACAGCAGAGTGATGGTGCTTGGCATGTTACAAGCAGTGCTACTGTTAGTACATTTTACAAGATCTGCCTTCTTACAAGTACATCTCACTTCCCCTTTACTGTAGATGTTATCACCTTCAGATCTTCCAGGCTTCTGCTGTCTTTTTGTATGTGTAGATTTGGCTCCTCCTGCCTAGATGTAGTTCTTTTTATTTCACTTGAGTGAATGTGACTGTTGAATTAGTATAATTTCTCTTTTGCTGAGAGCACTGGCTCTAATTGTGGCGCTGTAGTATTCCCAGTCCCTTCCAAAATGGTGTCATTCACAAATGTTATTATCTTGAATTTATTCATTCCAGTGGTAGCTTGTTTAAAGTTAGGCTGAGAAATCCATGCTTTCTTGAGAGTTCCTTTTTCCATTTTCTTGAAAGCAGGTACTAGATTTGCCCTCTTACATTTCTGTGGGACTTGACCTGTCCTCCACAGGCTCTGCGAGATAATAACTAATAATTATGATATTGCACTGCTTAATTCCTTAACTTCTGTAGGGGAGGAGATCTTGCTGTCCAGAATATATGGAACTCAGCTAAATCTGCTCCTATTTTTTCTCCATCACCCTGTTAGAACAAACTGTGGTTAAGGATCAAGTAACAACCTTTTTTGATGCAAGACCCTAAGATAGCATTTCAAGAGTGAGCAAAATTGCTACTACATCCTCTTGGCTCCCTTCCCCCTCCAAATAAAGCCCTACAAAGCTTGTGAGAGGAACAATTAGCAGAAAGCAGAGTGAGAGCGCCAGCTGTTATGGCAACTTGAACTCTTCCTTAGTTATATCATTGTGTTGTCTGCTCGACTTCCCTCTTTGTTCTGATTAATTGGGAAACTACTGCTCAAGTCATTCATTTCTCAAAACTTATTTATTTTGCCTCACAACATTTATTTGCACAGCCCCACTGTTGTATACAAAGCTTAGTTTTTAATGGAGTTCAGAACACCCTTTCACAGCATGCATTTCTGTTCAGTCCAAAGACTACAATACACCATATACATGAGTCTCCAGCTTAAATTAATCTTATTTGGTTTTATCCTGCTTGATTACTCTTTATGTGCTTTCCTTAAAGTCATGCAATTTTTTACTTATTATTTTGACTGTTTTCATTACTTGCTTCCACAATATATTTACAGGGATATTACACAGTTTGTATTACCTAACTGAAATGGATTTATTTTTATAAGAACAAAGTTAAAAGAACACAGTCTCAGGTGTCCATTTAAGCAAAAGTGAGTGAAAACAAGAAACTCCACACTGAACTCTTTAAAATGTGGGACATTGGAGAAGATGTTGGCACTGTTTCAGCATGTCTGGATGTGAACATACCCATGTGAAGGTCTGTTTTACAGGCTATCTTGGCTGCAGCCGTGCAAAGCACAGCAGGAAGACACATCTGCAGGAGAGTGTATATTTCTGGAGTTTCAATAAAGCTGACTATTGGCAGTGTTGATCTGAACTTCTGCCCAGGTTTGATCTTCAGTGCTAGCTTAGACACAACAGGAAAATAAACTACATGTGAAACGGACCTATGTGCCCAGAGAAGCTGTGGCTGCCCCTTCCCTGGCAGTGTTCAAGGCCAGGTTGGACAGGGCTTGGAGCAACCTGCTCTAGTGCAAGGTGTCCCTGGCAGTGGCAGGGGGTTGGAACTGGATGAGCTTTAAGGTCTCTTCCAACCCAAACCAGTCTGAGATTCTATAGAAGGGCTTTAAGATGAGTAAGCATCACCTGCAGTAAAGCTGAAACCTCCAACCGTGGTAGAGGTAGAAGACACCAGTAGTGAGCCACTCAGACTTGGTGCAGGCAGTCTTTGGAACTGATGGAGGCAGCACCCAAACCAATCTGTCTCGGGTGGGGTGGAGTAACAAGGAAGATGGCTCTAAGCTGGCTTAAGCAGACTGCAGAGCCCCGAGCAGATTGCAGCATTCATTGAAGCAATCGAGTCAGCTGCTGTGCTATCAATGCTCAAACTAGCTAGAATAAGCTGTAGTAACTTGTCCGCTCCCAGGGCAGGCCCGTTTCAAGGTTGGAGTCTCAGGCTGGGTCTGTGCTGCAGCCCCCACAGCCACACACCATAAGCACTGACTCAGCACTGCCTGCAGGCTTTGCTTGAGAAGCTGCCCCAGCCCTTCAGCAATTGCTTTGACCTCCAACTGTGCTGATAACAGCACCAATAACAAGGAGGCTGAAGGGAGTGTGAGCGTTGGTAATGCTCTACAGACACTTGCTAGCCAAGGGGAATGTACCTTTCTACTCCATGCTAGCTGTTTCCCCGAGGACAGTGAAACAGGCCAGGGCAGAGGAAATGCCTGCAAAGAGCAGTCAGAAGGGGGAAGAAAGCTGAAGATGTTGTTTGTATTTTATAATTGTTCTTTAAGCAACCAGTTAAACCAAAGCCTGTGAGTGATAGATAGGAATAACACCTACCTGAACTGAAAATGGGAGCCTTGGTGACTTCCACATCTACTGCAGATAAGTGGTATCTTCCTTGGTCATAGATGCACGTATTAACACTGCTATTGCTGCCAGTGTCTAAGAGGGCAGCTGCCCCCATCTGCACATCCAACAGATGCACAGATGCTACTGGTACCTCTGCTTGCTAGATAAAGCCAGCCAGTAATATCAGCACGCTGCAAGCTAGCTTTATCTAACTAGCATGGCTACTAGTGACATGTGAGGGGCATGCAGATCTTAGGAGCTGCCCTCATAGACAACTGGCAGTAACAATGCCAAATGCTCAGTTAAGGGTGGAGATGGCTGCTGCCAAACCTTTTAAATGCAGGAAAAAATAGCCGAGTTATTTATCTAATTTTATTTGCAGTAATAGGAGGCTGTTGAACATTATATAAGCACACTACAATAAAATCAATAGAGAATATTAAGAGCAGAAATAAAGATCAGCCAACCTGAGAAAACTACTAACTTGAACGAAAGGATCTAACCGGAAGGTGAACTGGACAACTCAGGAAAACCAACCCAGCAAAACAAAAGCGGATAATTCCTGGGTTTGATTAGATAAATCCTGAGCCTTTCACTGAAACAAGGTGCCCTTGACATGATGGTTTCTCTGAAGCCTTTAAAGGGAATTTTGCTCAGCAAGTACTTGAAAAATTTCATAATCAAGGATCTGGAAGTGCATCATCTCCACTTTGTCTGATCTCAGGTGAATATAATTCCAGCAGCTGATTTACCCTCACTGTTACTGCAGGACTGGAAGCCAAAGAGAGCATCCAACCACTGAGCAAGTCACTCTGTCCGTTTTGAAGTCAACGAGTTTTGCCATTGGCCTTAAAATAGTGGCAGAAATTCTCACCCCATGTAGAGGGATAGTGGATTTCTAAGTATAGACTTATGCTTCCCTTCTAGATGTAAGAAATAGGTGGTATCCTAAGTCAGCATGACTAAGAGGTTTCTCTGTGATAAAGTTACTCAGATTCTGAGACAAAGTTTTACGGGCAAAGCTCAAGTCCAACTAGAAAAGCTGTTATCTGGATCACTGACCCAGGTTAATCCAGTTTGTGAACCATTTATATGACGACATACCAAGAAATCTGTTTTTAAAGAGCCAAAACTGTGTTTCCTGTTGGGCTGATTTCTGTCTGGATCAACTGAACTGTAAATGAGCTATCAGGGATAGCTACCCATTAATGGAGGTTACAGCACAAGCCACCACTATACTTTGCTGAATATCCTCTCAGGAATTTCTTCATCTCCTCAGGTTGGTTGCAAGGGCTGTGTTAAACCACCTGCCTCAGGTCCTACTGAAGTATTTCAGACTGTATTGTAAGAACAGGTTAAAGACATCACCTGGTTTGTTTCTAACCACAGACAGTATGAAACTGGGAAACAATATAAAGATGGAAACTTGTAAGCAGGTTAAAATCTCTAACCTGAAACTTGATCTAAGACAGTTCTTCTCTGTAAAAATCTGATCCCTGAAAAGTTCCTGAACTTTTCTCAAAGTTAGACATTTTGAATTATCACTGTTCAGTGATGTCTGGTTTCAACTGTCTTTTCCTTCATTTTTCCTTCTTTCTTTTCTGCCACTGAATGTCTTAAAATGAATGATGTGAGGGTTCCATTCTTTACTTTTCAATTTTGCTGTTTCTCTAGTGTTAATTTTTCTTGTTCTGCTACTTTTCAAAACTTTTATGTCTCTTGTGAAGTTTAGGAACAGAAAGAAATCTTAAAAAGAACTCTCTCACTCTCTTGACTGGCAACTGGCGGGTTCCAAAAACTTTTCAGCTGCACATTCCAGTTCCACTGATCCCAAATAACTGTGCAGGTAATTGAATTGGAAATGGTTCACATTCCTATTTGTAACTGTTAGGCCCAAAGAAAACAGTGAGTAATGAAAAAGAACCATGGACATTGCTCATATTGGACTGGCCTGTGCAGTAGAGAAAGATGGGTAGGAGGGAGAAAAGGTTCAATGGGGAAAAATGAAAAGCCAACCTCAAAGAGCTTCTATTAAGGCTAGACATTGATATTTGCATCAAGCGTTTTCAACTGTGAACATACATGAACACTTGTGCATTTAAAGGAGATGCTTATTCCATATCATAGTTCAGCTAAAAATTCCATGACACAGAAAGCAGTAATTATTCTGGGTTTTCATATTGTAAACCTGGTCACTGTCATTCTTCCTGTGCCTCCACATGCCTCAATGCCACATTTTCTACAATTGTGGGGAGATTGCCTTGGCTCTCCCTCAGCTGGCTCAGCTAATGCAATTCACAGGCCTTCAGATGTAAGCTTGTAAACTGTTTAGTTCTTTTTCTATACAACAGCTTGTCTATTAACAGCTCATTCAATGGAGGAAGGAGAAAAAGCTAGTGAGACCTCTTTTGTTATTGCTCAGCAGTGACCCTGGCTTCCTCAGATCAGTCGCCAATACCCACTAACTGGTGTGTCAGTGCTTGTTGTTTCGCTGAATAATAGTCCATTGTGCTAGCAGTGGGCTGTATTAGTAGCAGGTAACAATGAGCTGGCAAAGTAAGTGTCTCTCGTATGGTAAGGTCATAAAAATGATGTACAAAAATCCAAGAGAAAGCTCATTAGGATGCTCCAGTGCAGTGCTGGAAAACTTGTGCTGTCTTGAGAGATTTTTGCCAGCACTTCCGTTTGTTCGGTGTTCAGGACCCACATTACTGCTCTATGCTCCGGGTTGAGATGCACTTGTGGAATGAGGATGGATCACCCCTCAAGATACGCTGTGTGATTCCCAAGCTGCATGTCTACTGATCATGGCGTCTACTTCATGAAAGATGTGTTTTGTCAAGGTACCAGGCTCATAAAATGCCAGGATGGGTGTACCCAGAGACTGCCCACACCAGGGACAATGCCCATTATTCCCATAACTATATGGTAGAAGGCTGTGCTGTGCATTGCAATTAAAAATGTGATCTTGAAATGCCTGAACCCTGCTCTGGCACCCTTGTTACATTTTTGCTGTGATGAAAAGGTGTTGCCATGCCATGCAATGGACCTGCCATACACTCTGCTTTCCTAAATGGTTACATGAAATCTGTAGTGTTACCTGATGGCTGAGATTTCTTGCACTTTTCTTAGTGTTCTGTATGGAAATACCAGGCAAGTTGGTGGCTTAAACAGTGCTTAATAAAAAGAATTGTGCTTGACACAGATTTCCCACCAACAAAATCCTATCCACCTCACTTACAAACACTTTGTTTACAGAAACATCCTGGTTTAGGCTTTTGCCCTTCAGATCCTCTGCTACCTCTCAGACAAACTGACAAAGCTGCAGAACAGAGAAATCAGGTTTCAAAGTGAGTGATTTATGAAACATGGACTTCTCCGTGCGTGCAGAGAGACTCCCCCGTGTGGCACGACAGCTCTGGCCGGTGCCGCTGTCAGGCCAGCAGTGAACATAATGAAATGTGGCCCAGGGAAGGCTCCCATGTTCAGGAGTGGCCATCACTTTGCAATTAATGTTGACTGACGGAGAATAATGTTGTTCGGTTGTGTTTCTGCTGGAGAAACAAAGTAGAGTAATATTTTACTAACTGTGATGTTGTGGGAAGAATTATGAGGTCTCATAGTTTTTTAATGTGAATGAGTCTCACAATTTTATTCTCGGCTTCCTTTTTCCCCAACAATGTGTCTTAAGATGATACCTTTAATAGATGCTAAAATCTATCTGGGCATCATTAGTTATTTTAAAACCTGGGATTATAAATTCATGTGGATTAACAGAACAGTTCAAGGTTTTAAACATATTTTAATTGTACTCCTCTTTAGGTCATTTATGATAAATATCTCCCTTTTGGGCTCACTTTTGAAAGTCTTGCTCTCAGTCCAGAATGGAATGCTTTTACCCAATAAAAACTGATAATTAAAATTTCCTCTACTATGTATTGTGTATCTTAAATATATTTTTTTGGGCACAAGCCAGAGGAAGGAATTGAGTTCTTCCCGAGCTAAAGGGCTTGACTGCCCTAGGTTCTACTGGCTGAAATCTACCTGTCAGCTGGGTAAAGAGACGTCAGAGATACACCAGCACAGACAAAGGGAGAATTTGTCCCAGTGTGTTTACTGTTTCCTGGAACTTGGGATCCAATTCTCCCATTCTCCTCCTGAAATCAGCATGAAACAGATGCTGAAATTCCAAAATGTTTTAAACCCTCCAACACTGTAGCTGTGAGCACAGTGCATTGTAACCACCAGACCTTGATGGCACAAATATATGCATCATGAACATGAAGTCTGGGTAGAAAAGATAAGGGCACCGTCTTTTGACACTTTCAAAGTAGCAAAACGCTGTAGAGAGTAACAACTACATTTCTGTGGCATTTGGTCACATCCCTCCTTGTATTGGCAAAACTTAGACTTGGATCCAAGTAGGTGTTGTTCCAAGAAAGTGAATGCCCAGTCATTTACGTCAGTGGAGTTGTGCCCAGCCACAGTGGATCTATATTTGATGGCAATTGAAAAGATGAATGGAAATAATTTCAGTTGCATTAGGGATGTAAGCTGTCAGGGGTTTGGATTACTGCTTATTCAACTTTTTGGATGGCATCTTCACTTTCAAGAAACCCTTTTTAGACCAGGCATCAAGAGGAGGCAGGATGCAGACAAGTAGCCATGCTCATGACACTGATCTTTGGCTGGAGAGGAAGGGAACGGAGAGGCAAAACTAGAGAAAGCAAAGGAGATACTGTGGGTGTGCAGTACTGCCAGATCTCAGTGGCCTAGATACATGTTGTTGTTTAGCTATTTCCATCAGTGCTTATGGGTATGTATTGATCTTGCTAGCACTCATGTCTGTGGGGTCACTGTGGGTATCTGATTTTATCTCTTTCTTTGGAAGGTTTATTAATATTGACACTTCTTCATTTAATTGGGGCACTGGCTATGGAATCCCTTTTTAACGGAATCATATTAGCTAATGTACTCTCTGTCCACACTCAAACCCAGAGTGCCCATATCTGAGTAACTGATAATATCATTACAAAAAACCAACAACAGAGCACAGGTCTGTGAAACCAGAGAGAATGGCAAAGACAGAACTACACTGCAATCTGCAACCTGCATTTCTCTATTGCAACACATAGGGCCCAAAATAAAGTCAGGGTTACTTGTCTCTGTAACACACAAATGTAACTTCTTCCCTTGTTCTGTCAAGGCCTCCCCACACACCAGGAGCTGCATTCATTTCTGGAATGTAGTTATTCACATCTGTACAAGCTGTTGTAAGATAGTACCAACTGAAAAAGGTACAGAACACACAAGCTTACTCCTCACCTTATACCTGCACTCAAAAAGAGTGTATCTGTCTCTGAAAGTATGTGAATTTGGCAAACATTCCTCCTTAACTCCCTCTTCTTTCCTTAAATACATTTGGAGACTGGTTCTACCATTTATAGAACATATATCCCCCCCCCCCCCCCGCCCCAAATTGCTCTCCTGGGATTGTCCAGGAAAGTGGTTTTTGCAGCCTGCTTGATCTGTTTTCATTGTGGAGCAATTCCTGAGGCCTGGCTTTGGACACCACTTGCAGCGGGTTTATATTAGAAGACCATGTCTTGTTACAGAGCTGTTACTGCCGCTCCCCCTTGGGACCATTGCACACCTGTGACCTTACCCTTCACAAGCAGGTTCTGACAACATCTCTTTGACATCCATGCAGGAAGGCAGGAACATGTTGCACTAACTCCTTTGAGAAAGCAGCAGTGAAACTGGGAGAGGGGGAAAGAAACAGCAGAAATTCCACCTTTAATAAATTTATTTACTCTTACCAATTTATTTATAGGGGAAAAGATGGAGTCTGATGTTTTGGTTGCCATGCATGAAGTCTTTAGAAGAGTAGATACCCCATTGTGATCCTGGCTTTCTGGAGTCCTCTGGAAGACAAGGGGTCTGGAAACACAGGTTATTAGAGAGACAAGAAGATTTCTCATTTTAACTGTCTATAAGATGTCTAGTCCAGCATGCTGCACTCATGCTGTTCCTTCTAGCAGCTTATGTACAGCCTGAGTTCCTGCTGCCTGCAAACCCTGCCCTGTCCTCAAGTCAACTTTGCTGTGTAGAAAAAAACTGACAGTTGCAGTTATCTCACTGGCAAACTGATAGTGTTAAAAACACTGAGGTTGGATAAAGCCTTCCCAGTCAAGAGGATTTTTGCTTTTCTGCAGCTGAACTTCCCGAGACTTACATTGAACTCAAATATTATTGAAACCTATAAATTATTTTTTTGCTAACAATGAAAGTTCATCACTCTGTTCTCTCATTAGTTTCCACCTTAAATTCTGCAAAGATGGTATATTCCTGGTGAGCTACTTACATGGGGACAGACAAGCAGGACAGTAACCTGGGTCTTCCATGCTCACCCCTCAGCTCCAGTCATTACTGTGGCTGCTCTGTTCACTGCTTCACTGATAATAGATTTTTTTTCTTGTAAGAAGAGAGGATTTGTGAATTAAACACACACTTGCAGCCCAAGCAAGGTCATACCACAGAACTCTAAACTGCAGTTGCTTTAGAAAAAAAGAAACTCATTGCTGATCAGTCTGACCTTCCATTGTGCTGGTTGCTAACACACACTTTTACAGAACACAGTCATTTTGAGGCCATTTCAGCAGACAAAAGCATGGTATAACTTCAAGATTAAGATGAAGCTTTCAAGTAGGTATTTCAGCATGTGACTGTGTTCTGAATGATTTAGCCTAAGGGGAGCCTATGGTGGAGGTTCCTTTTACAGACCACAGGAACATAGAGGTATTGGTCTTCCAAAAGAACCTTCTGCAAAACTCTGTGGGACACTGCCCAGCCAGGACGTCTTGGAGCATCATCATATATGCCCGCATTCATATAATTCTGGTAGTATTACAGATGTGTGGCCTAATAATACTTGCAGTAGTCTCTGCCATAAAGTGGATGTCTTTACCTACAGTTTGCATCACCCACCAACATTTTTCGTATGTTTTGCTTTACCTGCCTCTCTGGGTTAATCTAGTTTTATGTCTTCATAAATCAGACAACACAGCTCATTGCTATGATTACACTGAAATAAAGTCCTCTTTGTTTAATCACAGCCACTCTGCTTGCCCTACACTTCTGTTTCTCAGCAGGTCCTCAGATGCCTTGTTAAGACTTTCAAAGCCTCACAGCACACTGAGAAGAATGCAACTGTCCTGAGGCAATGAGAAAGTAACTTTACAACAATATAATTTATGAAACTCCAACTTCAGCATCCTTTTTTCCCTTTGTATGCAAAGCTAAACAGGAACTAGGGCTGCTGAATTAACCTGAAAGTTTATAATCTGAACTGTAGCTGACTTCTGCTCTCAGGGCTAGATCCCCACCTGGTATTTCCCCCACTGCTCCATTGAGGCTGGCTGTATGTAAATCACTGAAAACTCATCCCTTCTAAACACAAAACAAGTGTAACTTTCTGTATCTGATTTTTTTTTCTTTGATTTTTATTTCCCCAATCCTTTATACAGTCATTATAGACGTTAAGAGGCCTGTTTTGGGAATGATTAATGCTATTAATACTTTTCTAATTCAATAAGCCCTCTCCTCTTTGAGCTCCTTGCAGTATTTTTCTGCTTTCCTCAGCTTCCCACTAATTCAAATCTATGACAAATGTGAGGCTTTGTCTCAGCTATTATTTCTCACATCTCACATCACATTATTTTCCCACATCAAATAAATTAGCAGACTTTCATTTCTTTCCCAGGAGTGATGCCCATATGTTGATGAAAGCAGCATAAAAATATTACCTGTTCAAACAGGAAGGGAACAGAAAAGATAGAAGGTATCTTTTATTCACTGTGCCATGCAAAACGGAGATGAGGATCCCATTCCTTTCACCTCGACAGCGCCCACTATGTTGAACAATAAATATTACACGATTTGCAGCCTCCCCGCATCAATCTGGTTTAACTGCACCGTGTTATAATGTCCCTTCACAATCTCTTCATACAGTAGCAGTTATTTTAATCACACCACAGTACTTCAGTCACTGGGAAAGGATCAGCTGTCTTATCTAATGTCCACAATGCCCATCACATGGCACCAGCCCGGCAGAGCAGCATGCTGCTAATGCAGTTTTCTCTGTTTGGATAGTTAAAGATACATCTCCAGGCCAATTTGTACCTGTGTATTGTTGATAGACAGAGTGCCGCAGGCAAAGAGATACTGCATGCAGGAAATGGATTCTCATTAAACAGTGGTTTATTTTGTTCTCCGCATCTCCATCATCCATCTTCCCATTTCTCTGCCCACCCAAACTGCTAATGTGAATCAAAGCTACTTCCGCCACCACAGCTCCTAAACTGATGGGTGACGATACAATGATTGATTTGCCACTCCAGGACAAGTGGGTACATATTGTACCACAGTGTGCTGGATCATGGATCTGTGCCAGCATTGGGGGTTTATGCATTTGGTTTTAGAAGTTCAGACCTGAGGGGACTACCGTGAATACTCAGCCTGAACACTTTTGGTTTTTGATGGGAGCACTGCCCTTCTAAAATCTTCCTTAGCAGCTTGTCTGAAGTCATCTGTGCTCCTCAGGAGACAGTATTCTGCTTATGTATTTCACATCTTACTTGCATGCTTGCTCTGAGGATGAAAAATGTAGAATTCCTTCAATTCCAAGATATGGGGGCAGTTTCAGATTCGTCATTTTCCAAGACAGGAAACCCTAACGTAATGTAAAAATATATTTTAAATATAAAGTGATGTAGTGAACAGCTTTTGCAAAGGAGTTTGAATCAGTGAGAAAAATACTGATGCAAACTGCTCTTTGAAAATATCCATAATAGAATCATAGAATCACAGAATGCTTTGTGTTGGAAGGGACCTTAGAGATCATCCAGTGCCAACCCCGTGCCATGTGCAGGGACACCTTCCACTAGACCAGGTTGCTTCAAGCCCCATCCTGTACTTTTATTCTTCTTTTGTGAGATTACCACAGTGTTTCAGGAGTTTTCTCATGTAATGAGGCCTTTTGAAACTCACTTTAAGATTGTCTCTTATGATACTGTTTGAAGAGGAAAGTCTCTGTGCTGGAGGAGAGCTTGCATACCTATCTCTCTGCTGCATTAGATCAGCAACATTAGGAATCAATTGCCAAAAGGGAAGTATTTTGCAGGTTCTTCTGGAGCAGCCCAGTAAGTAACTGAGCACAGGAGCCACTGCAGAATCCAAAAGGTCAAGGCAGGTGGGGATTTTTTATTTCGGTTTTCAGAGGAACAAATAAATTCAGGGAAATTTAGCTCTTAAAATTTTATCTTTGTTTTTTTTTGTAAGAGTTGAAACCAACCTCCAAACCCCACCTGTTTTGGGAAATGATTTAATGAACAATAAGTCAGATAAGAACTTTAATCGGAGCCCATAATTGTTTTGCTTTGTTTTAGGTAAGGTTGGTTGTTTTTTTTTGCTTTCTTTTAGATAAATCCTTACACAAGCACCTTCTCTTCTCTTTGCACTCCCCAACGGGTTGTGCCCTCCAGGGCAGAGAACACCTAATCAGGTCCTTAAATCATCACACTGGTAAAATCCATATTGGGATAAACAGTTTGGCCTAGCAAGGGCTGCACTTTTAACTTCCAGCTGTAATTTTTGGCAGGCACAATCTGGGATGTGGTGAGAAAGAGGAAAGCCTACAAACGCCTCCTAATCAGGGCCCCTTCGGCTACAGAGTAATCCACTGATTTGGCACAGGGTGAACCTGGAGGGACACAAAGCCACAGCCTCTTCCAGAGCACAGCAGCAGTATATACCCAAGTCCTGAGGGCTCTGCTCTAGTGATCCCTAAGTTGAGGCAAGGGGACAGAAAATCACTGCCATTCCACTGAATAAATATGCTTTCTTTTGAATTTCCCTACTCTTCCTCCTCCTACCGCTCATCTCCTCTCCTCTGGAAACACCACAGATGAGAAAGGTTTGCAGGTAAGCAAAGAGGAGATGGTCACAGCAAATGACAGAGCCAGAGCTGTGTGCAGCACGCACTGATAAACCCCTGCCAAAGCCTTTCCCTTCTGAAACAGAATCCTTGTAATGGAAATAATTACCGAAGACACAGACAAAAACTACTTCTGAATGAAATTTAAGCTTCAGCAGACCACAGAACCGCCAGGAAATGCCAAGTCCAAGCAGCCATCCCTTCATCCTGAATTCACACCATTTTCTGTTTCTGTTTCCTGTGCAAAGTTATCAATCACTCAGAAAACTGTTGCCAGGAGGGAGGGGGGAGGGAGCTGTGGATCAAGCTTTGGACACAGAGTGCCTTGGGACAGCCTTCACCTGACTCTGCAAAAATACCAGACAGCTCCCTCATGTTGAGAGGGGGCTCTCTGGAAATATGTGGTGTAATGCACAGTATTGAGGAAAAACCCAGCAATTTGAGGGGGGACTTTTGGCAATACCCAGAATGATGAGTATTAACGAGGGGAGAAAAAAAAGACTGGGGGGGGGGGGAGGATGACAGAGGGGGGTCTCTGGCTATGCCCAGTGCAGTATTGGGTACTGGGGGGAAACAAAACTGTATGACTTCGGGGGGGGGGGGGGGGACGGGACGGGGACGACACATGGGACAACCCTCGGCAATCCCTAGAATGATGCTGTGTGACCTGGGTATTGCTGGCAGCACGCAGCACAGCACTGAGCTGCATGATTGCGTGGGGGAACCTCTGGCAATGTGCAGCACTAAGGGGATGGGGGAGAATGACAGGATTTGGGGTGCGAACACCGCTGACGGCACAGTGATGCCCACAGGAAGTGGAGGGGCCACGGACACCCCAACCCCTCCGCAGCGCGCACCGAGCGCGCGTAACGACGCAACTCACCTCAGCCACACACGCGCAAAACCCGCGCAGAGCCGCGCGGCGCAGTCACGCACTTTGCCCTAGTCCCCGTCCCAGCGCACAGACACTCCGCAGCCACAGCGGAGGCCGCAGGGACAACGGCGCGGGTGCGCGCACACGAGCGGGCGCGGCCGCTTTAAGGGCGGCGGGGGCGCGCCTCCGGGGCGCCCGGCGCGCCTCCGCCTCGCCTCTCCGCTGCGCCGCGCTCCCTCCTCTCCCGCTCTCCCTCGCCCCGCTTTAAAGTCTCCTCCAGGATCCGGGCTCGCCCGGCACTTCCTGTACGGCAGGATGGAGCGCGCCGGGGCCCCGGCTGACCGCCGCCCGCCCGCCCGTGCGCGAAGGCGGCTCTGAGCGCCCCGTCCGCGGCATGCCGCGCTCCCCGCTGCCAGCGTGAGGCCCGCACCCCGCCGAGCGGGGGGACCCCGCGACTCTGCCCTACCCCACACCCGGGGTGAGGGGTTTATTTTCGCCCCCCCCCCTTGAAGATTCGAGCGGGAGCCCCCCGCTTCTTCCCGCAGGAAGAGAGAGGGCTGCCGGAGAAACTTATTTTCAACAAGTTCGGGGCTTTTTTTTCTTTTATTTTTTTTTTCATTTTAATTATTATTATTATTTTTTTCCACCCTGCGCGTTAATTATTTCAGTCCCTCTCCCCTTTCGATGTGCGGCTTTGGACATGCGGAGGCTACTGCAACCGTGTTGGTGGATCTTTTTCTTGAAAATCACCAGCTCCGTGCTCCATGATGTGGTGTGCTTCCCCGGTGAGTGAGCGCGGCGCTTCGGGAGCGGGGGGGGTGGGGGTCCCGCTGCTTCCGATACACGTGTCCGCGACCCCCGTCTGGGGTACCGCCGAGGCACCCCGCGAGTACGGAGGATGCGCTAGGGACCGTGGTGATGGAGTGGCTGCTCCGATGCCGGCTTCCCTCAGCTCCGCAGCACCCTCCCGGCTGTGGGCAGCGCTGCCCGCGAGTGGGGCCGTGAGCGGTGCCCGGGTTCCCGGCGCGGTATCCGAGCTTCCCGGTGCACTGCAGCCGCCGGTGGAGCGGAGCGGGCGGGGAACGGGAGGTCGTATGCGCTAGCCGTGCTCCGTGGGGTTGCTTGCGGGGCCCCCCCTTTGTGCTGCGGGACTGCCGCCCGCCGCCCGCAGGGAGCGCGGCTCTGAGCCCTTGTTGCAGCCTCGCCTCCGCCGCCAAAAACTTGGCTGTGCGCGGGTCTCTGCTCACCGCGTCCGCGGTGCGTGTCTCGCCCTGCCGGCGCCTCACCTTGCCGGGGGCGGGTGGTGGTGGGGGGCGCGCCCGCTCCGCACCGGGGCTGCTCTGTGCAGACACCACCGCACGCCCGCGGGAGAGGGGTTATGCGGGCGGGGAGCACCCAGCGCGCACCGTGCTTAACACGCACGCACAACCCGCACCCCATGGCTTGTGCCTGTCGCTCTCGCTCCGCACCGTAACGCAGGGGCTGGGGCTGCCGGGGCCGGATGGGCCCTGGGACGCCGAGTCCCCCCCAGAGCAGCCCCTCCGGGCCGGGGGGAACTCGCGGGGCTCCGGCTCTCGGCGCCTCCGCAGTGCCCGCACTCCGCCGTTAGGGGCGCTCTAGGGCCGCCGGGCTACCCCGCGGGGCCGCGCGTAACCCTCCGCCGGCGCGCCGTCCCCCGCCTCGAGCGCGGGCTGGATTTACTGTCTTGTGTCCCGTCCCCTCCCGCATCAAGGGTTGTCCTGACCGGGGCTTCGAACCCCCAGGAGCCGTTCGGTTATTCCCCGTTCCCTGCGCTTCGGCGGGGTGATGCGGGGGGCGCGAGCAGAGCGCACCCCTTCCACCGTTCCTCTTGACCCTCGATGGGTGCCTGATGCGGCCCCAGTCATTGGCTGTGTCGGTTCGGTTGTGCGAGTGTGGAAAGGAAGGCTTAAATTCAGGGAGCTTCATAAGAACTTCCACTTCTTTCTTTCCCTTTTTACCTAAAATACACTTTTTTTTTCCTTAAGGCAGAGATAAGCAGTTAGACCCATCCTCTCCCAGTCCTTCCAGCAGTTTCTCACATGGTAAAACGATTTGAAGCAAAACCCAAATACATTGGAGAGAAGGGTTAATACCTCTGCAGCTCTTGAAGAAACATTTATCTTCTTTGTATTGATTTCTTCTCAATTTCAGGCCTCAGAGTGAAGTCTTTCTCTCTGGTTCTGATATATATTGTACAGTAATTACATCTAGAAGGCAGGCTTCAGGAATGCTTCAGGAAAACAAGCCGTGATGTGGGTTTAATATGACAGTGTTGCACTACTCGCTGATATACATCAGTGAGGCTTGAACCAGTTGATATTTGCATTACGGTTTGAATAGGAAGATGAATGTCAGCAGAGAGTAGTAGGTCTGTGGATGTTTGCTGTGTGTTGGTAAACTCTTTAGTGCTGGAAGGCCTGAGAGAGCTGTGTAACACTTCAGAATGCTTTGGGGCTCTTCATGGCTAAAGGTTTGCTGGAAAGCAAACTATTTTGTAGGAGGGTTTTTATGGGTTTAGTTTCTGCACAGAGATACTGTGTTAGCCCTCAGTGCTTGCTCACTGCTGTATGCTGCCTCCTGAAGAGCAGTGATGTCTGGTGTGCATGCATGTGTGCGTGCAAGGGGGTGTGAGCGAGGCAGCGTGATAAACCAGACTCTGATCCAGTACATCCGAGATGCCTGAGGCAGGGAAGCTGCAGGGAGGATCTCAGTGGACTATAACAGGACATTGGTGCTGACAGCATCCAATGGAAAATCATTGGAATTTGTCTTGGCGGGGAATCCCATCAAGATATTAACTGTTTAGTATCTACCACAAATGTTTCGGTGCCTTTTCATGGCACTTTCTAGAGAGGATTAGTGAATTAAGGCACTTATTTTACATGTTAATTCACAAGCATCTTTCTTCTCTGCATTTCAAATCTAGTTCTCTTTAAACTGAAGAGAGGTCACCATGTATTCTCTCCCCTGCAAATTACTTTACTTTCTGAAGAAACATAAAGGCTATTTATTTCCTTTGTTCAGTGACAACAAATGAACCATGTAGAAAATAAGCCTTTGCAGTGTTCTTTTGTTCTGAGGACTGTAATAGGTTTTCACTGTTTAAGTAGGTATCTTTTGCTGTTGTTCCTTTGGTTGCAATAAGAGGAGGGAGTCATTCTTGCACAAACAATATGTGGGCAAGGTTTTGCTCTTTCTGAAGTGTTTAGTGCATTTCTCTGTGGGCTTGTCACTGGTAATTGCATTGCTTAATAAATCAAACTAAGACAAGGTAAGAGAGGTTGTTTCCATGGGGTCTGTTTGCTCATTAATCTAAATTCACAGTACCAGAAATCAGCAAGGCACAAATATTAACCTTGCTGTGATATACTTGGTGTCCAGTTTCTCAGTGCTTTACCAAGAGAGGATAAATATTTTTTGTGAAGGAAAAAGTATGTGTGTGTGCAGTCACGAGCTGTTGCTGTGATGATCCTGTCACCTAAGGAGTGACAATTGTTAGCGTTCCCTTGGGCTAGATGCATAAATGAAAGTAATTTTCTTGATTCTGGATTAGCTCAGGTAATGGATCAAGTTGTTGCTGACCTGGTCACTGCCAGGTAACTATGAATGGGTTTTGCATTTTGAGTCTTTCTGGTTCTGAGTTGAGAGTTAATTTTACATGTAACTGACTACTGCTTGGAGGAAGAAATATACTAGGAGCTTTTCCCTTCTAATCAAGTGCTACTTCAGGTATTTCTAAAGGCATGGAGGAGAGTGGCTTTCTTTATGAAAGGTTTTGCAGAGGAAGGTGCATTGTGCACGTAGAGAAATACGGAATGTACAGGAGAGGGCCCTCCAAGACTTTATTTAGTCCTGTGGCTTTTATGAAGATGACACTTCTTACATTTTAATTATCCCTTATTTTCAGTGCCTTTTTAAAATATGCTTTACGTTACGGGAAATTGCTAATGGAGTCCTTGTAGATAAAGAATGTCAAGTGAGCCTATCCCACGCTGTAAGAGCTGAGCTTGCTATGTGCTTCTGGGGGGAAAACTCGAGGGAGAGCTTTGCTATCTGTTAGCTGGTTTACAGGAGCTGATTTGTGGTTAATAGAGCCTGGACACAGGTTTCCAAAGTCTGAGTACTCACAGGAGCTATCTGCACTAGTAGCCAAGGTAAGAGGCTATTGAATTTGGGAGAGGAAGAAGAGGCATCACAGTGGAAGGGATTTTGGTATATCCAAAAAAGAAAGGAACACAATTTGAGGATAACTGGAATTCTCTCAGTCCTATCTGTAGTGTCTAAGAAAACCTGTATCAAGGCTGGGGACATTGCTCTGCTTGAAGGAGTGAGGAGGATTGTTTGCCTGTGTGTATGAGTTAGGATTTCTATTACTGCTCCTTCATCTGCTATCTCCTTTTTGTCTAAGAAATGGGGACAAAAGGGGGTTTGATACTGTTCAGAAAATAGGTGTCTTGGTCAGAGCAGTGAGGAGCTTGTGTGAGTGTGGCACAGAGATGTCACGTCATTCACCTGCCCCTCTGCAGCCATGCTGGGAACCTCTGCTGAGGAAATAGGTCTTGCTGGGTGGCAAAAAAATAACCAAACCCCACCTATTGATTTTGGTAGGGTGATGGTTTCACTCCCTGTTCCTGGGTCTTTGCAGGGAGAAGTGTCTGAAGTTATGTACATGCAGTCTGCTAAAGCTGGACTGTTACCAAGATGTGCAAATTTAATAGCTGGTGTTTGTTTCCAATTACAGAAATGACAGATAGCGGTGAGGACTCTATCCACCTTATGATCAGTGCTCAAGGGCTAACGTACTTAGAGTTTTCCGAAATAAAATTACATGAACATTAACTCTGATATCAATGTTGAAGTTTCATGGTTGAATTCAAGAAATGGACTTCAAACTATTAATCTCAGCTGTCCTTGACAAAACACATATCATTGGGTTGCTGCTTTTTAGCAGCCGAATGATCACGTGGCACGATGTGCTCTGAAGCCTCAGGGTGCAGTAGTAACACTGTACTTTGGGTAATATGTAACTTTAATCTGAGAAATTACAAAGAAATAAAGCTGATTTGTTTGCCCAAATTACTG